AATTTTAATACAACATAGAAAGTTTCTAAATTATTAAGAAAAATGTTTGACCACTGACCAGGAAAAGACATTGGTCACTTGTCTGGGCTAGAGTGCCTAGGCTGACACCATGGCACTCTAGCCCAGGCAACAGGAGTGAAGACTCTGTCTCAAAAGAAAAATAAAAAAGTTTAAAAATTTTAATACAACATAGAAAGTTTCTAAATTATTAAGAAAAATGTTTGACCACTGACCAGGAAAAGACATAAAGACAACAGTGTAGCTCTAATTTTAAACAAGAAATATTCTATTGTATCCAAGATAGAACTAATATGAATGATACATTACTAAGGTTATCTTACTAACTTTTGGTGTATACCTCCCACTGCAAGATATTAATAATTAAATGTTAAAACCATGGTAAACTTTAGTGAAGTTAAAACATTAAATGTAGCCCCTCAGAGAGGTCAGATGTAGTCAGGCACACAGAAAATGCCTTGAAATGAATTCAAAATGACCATAGCACCTAACTTCAAAAAAAAAAATACAATAAAATATTCCCCACTAAAATTTAGCTTTATTATTACTGACAGAGAAACAGTTTTGATATGAAAGCCATCAAGTCTTTAGCTATGCAAGTTAATAAAAAAGCAAAAGCTTGCATTTTATTATTGGGCTGAAACTCTAATATCTAGAAAATAGATTCTCTTTTTCCTAGTCTGAGTTCAGTATTTTGGATCTACCATTACAGTTGAAATAAAACTTCCAGAAAGTGAAACTAGGGATCAGTGAAGTCTTAATTGAGTCTAAATAACTGCATTTCTAAGTTTTCTACCAATGTTAATAGGTTTTGGAGTTAGTAACTACTGTCTAACAGTACTTACAGTAAACACTTAAAAATTTGTACTTTGGGTTGGCCAAAGTGGGAATTAATGTCCTTTCAAGTTTATTTAAAGACGCAGTTCAGTTCTAGCAGACTCCCTCTAAAACAAGTAGGAGTGTTATTCACGTAACGACTGCACAGGAAATCTGGTTTTGCCTTCCACCGCTTACATTCTAAGCAGAAATGCCATCACTACACAAAACCTACAGGAATCCCACTGAGTAATTAAGTGACCAACCTCTTAAAAACTTGCCAGAAACAACAGTGTCTGTAAAACCTATTTAGTGTGTTATTTAGTTCTATTTCTGCATTCAAATTTAAGATTGTTTGGAGATAAATATTACATAATTTTCATGGTAACCAAATAAGTATAAAAACAAAGAATTAAAATTGGCATATCAGTTCAGTATTTGAATTATGAGAAAATGGCATGAGCCATTAGCGTGAGCCATTAAGAGTTTTCTTCTTTATTCCCTTTTGATTAAAAAAAAAATTGCCAGGGGATGGGATAGGGTTAAATTTAAAACATTTTAAGGTATATTTTACAAGAAATATACTTAATGCTTTTGCCGAGTGCTTTCTGATGAAATACAGACACCAAATTCCCATCAGCTCTTACCCTTCTTTCCAGTGCTTTGCCCTCTGTTGGGAGCAATAACTCTATACATGTCCTATAAATGTCAGCCCTGACTAACAGGATGCCCTAGCTCTGAATCCAGCCACAGCCACCAAAATAGCTCCTTTCTGGAGACATCACACACAAATTATGACTCACTTAGCAGCTCATCTTTAGAAAACGAGCAATTTACTAGTAGTCTGTTAATTGAGAAAAGAAAATGAAACTCAATCAATTGGTAAGGGGAAAATATGATAAACAGGAGGCTGGTCCTTAAGAGTGAATGGTGCCCAAATGACAGGTACTAGATGATCCAAAAGGTGATGAATTATTTCTCACATTCTTATCCTTCCTTGCCTTCTTCTGAAATTTCTCACCTGGTGCTTTTTTTAATATAGTAAGTGCTTTTTATCTGCCAAATGCCAAACTGTAAGCTCCCTGAGGGCAAGGACCATATTCTTTAGGTTCACTCTTGAAGGTTCTGTGCCCAGGCATGTAGCAGCATGGCAAAAAACTGATCCCAAATAAGTGCTACATTAAGTCAAGTATTTATTGAGCAACTACTATGAGAGGGAGGGAAGAAGGAAAGGAAGGAAACTGTGCTAGGTTTTGGGGTCCCAGAGTCTTTGGATTTTGTTTTGGTTGGAAAAATTAACTACCTTACTACCTAGAAGCAGTGTTTCTAAATTTTTCCATCAAAGAATCCCTAATGGAAGAGAAGAGATCTTGCTTCATGTGATTTATACTCTCTGCGTATCAGTGTTTGTTTCACTATTGTGCTGGACTGTAACCTCAACATCATTGCTCCCTGCCTTCTAGAATGTCCTCCGGATTGCAGGGAAAGCCAGAAACCACACTTCCCACAAACTTCTTTGCTCTCTGGTTCTAAGTTAAGAGTTGACCCATAAGAAACATTTCCATGAAATGTGGAAGGCAGAGAAAAGGAGAGGCTGTCCTTCCTCCAAGGCTGTGTGGGCTGGCAGCGGACATGGGTTTCACAGCAGCTTCAAGATCTCTTGCACGGAGCCTGCTTTGGTGCTATTAACAGCTGAGACAGCTGATGACAGCTCCTTGAGATTCACAGTGTCAGTGCTGCAGGCTGAGACAGCAGAAGCTTCTGGAAGTCAAAATTCACAGCAGTCCCTGGGGCAGTTCCTGAGATCCACCCACTTTGGTGCTGCAGATACCTCCCTCACCCACCCTTCTGATGCTGGAAGTTTCTAGTTCCATATATTAAAACATTTTACACTTAACAATGCATCAAGTGGCTAGTTTTCCTAACGAAATGTTGGAATATTTAACATCAGCATTAAAGAAAAAAGTTTCCTACCTGTCTTGTTAACTTAGGGAAAGATGCTGCTTCATGGAGTCTACTGACATCAGAAAATCCAGCTGAAATGAAGAAAGATAACCCTGCATGTTTGACAACCAGGTAATTTCTTTTTCTATCTCCAGGTAATTTGTGTCACAGTATCTTGAGGACACAAATTCCTAAATACTTGGGAAAAATGGTTTTATCTTCATTGATTTATAAACTATGTTAGGGCAGTTGTTAAGTAGAGATATCACGAATTTTGTCAGAGAAGTGGTATACTGCAACACTTTCAGGCTCCTGCTGTCATAAAATTTGATAAGTGTGTTTCCTTGCTGGCAGGTCAAACTGCTAAAATCTTATGGTAGACCTAATAGGTCTGAGAATCACAGGTTCATTTTTTTAAAAAATGAATCATGAAAATACACAACTTTTTTTTTTTGAGGAAAGAAAAATGACTGATGTTCTTTATTTACTATTAATAAACTCGTTCAACTCATAAATTTCCCACTCACCTTGCTTCAGCCCATTCTGAAACTTTATTTATATTGCATCAAACTGGCCATATGTTAAGAAATACATTCAATTCTGACTTTGCTGAAAAAATGCTGAATAAGTTATCCTTTCGAATCTTAGCTACAAAGGTGGACAATGACTTTCTTTTCTTTATACATGTTTTACCTTTTATTAAGACATTCCTTTTTCTACATGAAGATACAAATAAAAATTACACCAACTACAAAAACTATTCTGTAAGCCACACAACTATTTCACGGAGCAAGAAGCCTTTAAAGTCATTTTTCTTCATTATAGGTTTGCCTAAAAAATGGATATTCAAAACACAACCTTTTCTGTGTACAGAACTTCATCATTTTTAACAAAAGCAGTGAAGACACTTTACAACCCATTGGCAACCTCTTCAAGATGCAGTGTTCTTGGTCATCGACGTAGTTGCTGCCGGGGCACCCAGTGAGCCTGACTCCAGACACCATGTCCACGGCGGCTATCCTAGCCTGAGCTCCATCTGTGCCCACATCTATACTTTTTAAAATAGATGATCCCATGCCTACTGAAAAACAAGTTGCACTGCATTGAAATGATACCAGTTACTCTTTTGCCATCCATCATTTTGCAAAACCAAAACATTATCATAACATTTAATGACAGAAACAACAGCCAAATACTTAATGCCATATTGTCATTCGATTTATGAGGCTGCTTAATCTCAATTTTTGTTCAAGTATTTCTTGTGAGCACACTAAAATGAACATGTGCCACTTGATAAGGAAACTTCTTCAGTTTGACTCAAACAGATTCAGACATGCTGTGCGTCATGAAAACAACTCTCATTTTATTTTCCATAGTGTATCTTTCACCATTCACAGCAATTCTAAAACTGAGCTAAGGGAAAACTTCCAAGAATTTTTTTATTTGGCTACTGTACGGTTTTTTTCATTTAATTTTTTCTAATCAAGACCGCTCTTTTTGTGTTCCAAATATTTTGCATAAATTTCTCCCTCGAAGTTTAAGAGAATGCAAGCCACTCAACTTCCTGTTTTAAATCATTGATCAGTGTCCCAGTAAAAGCGATAATTTAAAATTATTGCTTTAAATAAAGGTACTAAAATTATGCCAATTTTCAAGTGCTTTTGTTGTTATTGGGAACTCATCATGAAGTGAAAAGAAGTAAATGTACTTGGCCAGTGTAAGAATAGACATTTTATCAAGTACAACTGTGGCAAAAAAAAAAAAAAGTTGAACTGATGTGTGGAAGCCATCAGGACTTTCATGGTTTAGCACATGAAACGGCATGAACCTTTGAGCAACTGCAAAGACCACGTAATAGCAGGCCTGGTGGGCTGGCACTGGCCTCAGAACAGGGGTATTTGTGTAATTCTCTGGCAACGTGAAGGCTCTAAGTTCCAATCACTCACTCACAAAAAAGTCTCCAACAGTCTCTTTTGTGGAAAAAATTGAGTTTTGCTGACATGCAAAAGGCAGCTTCTACTTATTAGAGACAAAATAGGCAAAATTATTGATTTCCCCAAATAAAAACTTTGAGTAAACCAACGCTCCAGAAAGATGTACAATGGCTAGAGTGCATGTGGTTACATCTCCAGGGTGGAGACTTCAGGTCGCACAGCACCACCATGGGAGGCAAGCACTGGTCTCCTGGAAGGAAGCGTCCTTATGAAACAGGCCCATCCAGAGACCTTTTAAATTACCTTTATTTTGGTTGCAAAGACACAGTTTACTTAGTTTCTTAATGTTTATTTGTTCCCATTTGATGTCTCAGAGCTTGCCCATGTTAAACATTGCCTCCACTACCAAACTGCTATATAAGAACATTATAAAATACAAACTATAAACTGAGATAATGCTCTTTACAGTATTTAGATTAGTGCATTAAAACAACATTGATTTAAAAAGGCAGGTGAGTCAACTGGCAAACATCCAATTGCTTTTCTAACGAAGGATGATATAATACAAAAGGGCATACAAGGTAAACACTAAATTTTAAGTGTCAGGTGCTCAAAAACAGTAATTGTGAGGAAGTTACTTCCCAAAAGTAATTTTGACCCAAAGATACTTACGTAACCATTGTTCTATAGGACATAGGGAAGATAAATAATGGCTCGCAAACCCAGATAGTATTGTTAAGATAGTTTAGTGGAATAATAAGTTGGGATCTTTAGAATCCAAACACAACAGTCATTGATTTTTCATACTCTTCCTCCAAATTACATTAAACAGTTATAGTAACTACATTTTCCCTAGTAAACATCAGACTTAAATAGACCATATGTAAAAACAATCTATCCTTAGTAATTTTACTAAGCAATCTACAGCAATGCTTAATATATACACATCACGAGTATGAAATACACTAAGAAGTTATTCATTCATTTCATTCAGAGTAAATAAGGGTTTTAAAAGAAAACAGTAAAAGTGAAATAATTTGTGCTGTTGTAAACCAGGAAAAAAAAAACAAAAGGACATGTTAATTTTTTTAAGTTATTGAGAATATTTCCTCTGCTGAACCAAATCAAAATTAAATGTGAGATTTTTTTAATCAAAGTAACACATATCTGGGTGGATATTACATAGTGACAGAGAGATGCACACAGAACACACACATCTTTAAATTTACTAATTCCAAAAACTACGTCAAACAGGGTAAATAAATTATAAATGAAAAGTATATACATTTTGGGCAAAAACTTAACACTTACTAAATCGAAAAGCATGAAAGTTGTATCAGCAACATTTAGAAAAACTTTCATTAGAAAATATCAGATTTAATCCAAAGGAACCCCCTCCCCCAATAAAAATAACAAAGTATGGGAACCATCCTTTTCACAATAGCTTTAAAATAATAATTAAAAAACCCCCATAATTACAGGAATCTTCCTACATAATTTAGATAATGTAGTGCAATAGTGTGCTCTTTTATAATCTTAGCCATGCACTCCCCATATGATGAGACCAATAATCACAGCTCCAATGACAAGGACAAAAATGATGATGCACAGGGTTTTTCTGGATTTGCGCTGCAGAAGTAAAAACAAAAAACATTTACAGATTTAGTAGAGTATCTCTGTAGCAACCGAAAATAATCTGGTTCATTTCTAGAGTAAAATCACAGTAGTTTTTTTGCTCTCAGATTTTTGGTGTGTTTGTTGCTTCTTAAAACTCTCTTCAATATATATGGCACTATTCTTTCAAAAAATATTCTTCTTGAATTAATGCTATAATTCAGGAAGCAATTTTTCAACTTTTGTTGGTAATATTTTGGGGAGTATGGCTGGGCTTAAAACAGATGACATTGAGAAATAAAAGTTACTGACTTAACAATAGACTGAGGTATACCTATGTATAAAAGTAAAGAACAGCTTCAAAGCTTATAAATTCTTTAATTTTTATTTTAAAATTTCTCTTAAAAATGAGTTCTCTGAAAATATTCACAAATATAAATGTTTGACAACCTTTCCTAAAATAATTATGTCAGTTTCCAAAATTATTACCATTTTTTTAAATTAATGGAAACTGCATTCAAAATCTCTACAAATAAAAACCAAAGAGCAAACAAAATTATAATGATGTCATTTAAAATACAAAGGTTAAGAATCTTGTTCCACTCTTCATTCCTGGCCCACTAGTAGATTTCTGTATTTCTTTAATGGCTTATGTATCTCACACCAAGAAGCAGGAATCCTAAAAATTTGTAAATTTACCTTGTGTCAATTAGAAGTACCATAAAATTTATAAAAAGATATGTTTCCGAGTCTGAAATTACCCTGAAAACTATGAATACTTTCAGTATTCCACATACTTATCTAATTTTTCAACTGAGGAAGACTCCTCAAATATTAAATATAATTTAACATTTCAATACCATCATACATAAATATTTTCCTCATACTCCACTTGGTTACTACAGAAAATGTGCAATGTACCTTTCCGAGTCATCACGGGTATTCCACTATGGTATATATTACCTAGGGGTATGCGCCCTAGTGTGGGGTAATGAGGTCCTTGGTGCTGCAGTGACAGGAGCATTTATTCCCTTCCTTTTTGCTCATGGTTCACCCAAACATATCAAGGCTTCCAAGTAGAACTATTGGAAAGCCGCCACTTTTCTCAGCATCTGTGTAGCTTGGCCCTCTTCCCGCCCTTCAGGGCCTACGGGAGTTAAGTTTGGGGGTAGCTCTCAGATCTGGGGTGCAGCACGGGAAGACATGTGCCTTTCCCCAGGGTGGCTCTAGGCATATCTTTCCATAAGGAAGAGGAAAAGTAAAACTTGGTGATGCATCTACATCTCCCCAAAATCCAAAAATAAAACAAAATAACACGTGAACCTAGTCAGTGATGAATCCTGTTAAACACTAAGATTCAGCAGTTATATGCTATCAGTTCCACAAGACTTCTGGCATTTACAGATTACCATGTGTGCACAGGTGTGTGTGCACACGCGTGTTTTCAACTACTCATGAGGGACACCTAAAGTCCCTGACACAGTGATATCAATTCTGCTGAGCTGCATATCTGATTTACATGCACAAAGATGACAAACAGGAGTTACTCTGTCCTGTTAGTGAATACAATTGGTTATAACTCAGGAATCTTCATACAGCTTCATTGTTATTTACATATCACTGAATATGTAGTGATTTGTCCAGGGAAAAAATGGCAGTGAAATGAAAGGCAACTTCCAAGGTCAGTGAGAAAAGTGAAAAACAACTGAAAATATCTAAGAAGGTGACAATATCTTAGATATTTTGTAAGACATTAACAAAGTCTAAGAAAATGATCATGAACAACAGAAAAGGGAGTTCTAAAAGGGAAATCAAATGCTACATGGTATTTAGGGTTCCCCAAAAAACCTGGCTTTATCCTTGCTATACACCAAAGGTCTACATATTGTATGATTTATTAATAGTTCATGGTTCTAGTATTTGTATAGTACTTGACACAATTTATATTTGACACATACATATGGGCTCCCTATATTAACCTGCTTCACTGAAGAAAGAAATTCATTCCTGGTGAAGGGTCTGCTGAATGTTGACAGAATATATAATGAATAATGACATTCCAAGCTGGTATGATTTCCGTAAGACCTGAAGATATCTCTCTAAAATAAGAATTTTTGCCTCTGTGGTCCAGAGTACCATTGATGAAAAGAAAGGAAAGGTAAAAGGGAACAGGGAGAAATGGAGGGAGAAGTCTATCAAAGAGGTTTCTGAGTAGAAATGTCACAAGGACATCAGAGACCACCAGCCATCAGCAAAGCCTACAGTTGTCTACTGAAACTCGAATAATAAACATTCTCTCCCCTGTGGGCCACAAGTCTAGTTCAACCATGAGAATATATATACAGGCTAAAACTTGTTTTAAGCTGACTGATATTACTTCTGATCCCTTGCAGGGGTCTGAGTTTAAAATGTTAAAATTCAACATCTCCTCCAGTCACTTTAAACTTGATCAATTCTCATTCATATTCTCTCTCTCTCTCCCTCCCTCCCCCCCCATCCCTTCCCTTCCTCCTCAGGCTAAGTTATAAGAAAATTCACTACAGTTAATATTACCTGATAATCTGCTGCCCTTGACAGCTGCTGGTTTGCCTGTTGAACGTGTACCTCTGCATTTTCCACATTGGCTTCTATGCTATCTTTAAGATAAAACACACATACACACACAAAACTGTTAAACATGTACTGACACTCCAGTAACAAATCACTACATTTCATTCAAGATAAGACTAAATATGCTTATTATGCAAAGGTTAGTATTAGTAGTACACCAAAGTTGAATGTATTTTAAGCTGGCTATAATTCCTCCTTATACTATTTCTCAGGTGTTCCAAGCAACACACAGACATTTGAAGAAAAGAACCTTGGTCATCTTCATCACAGCGCAACTCCAGATCTATCCAGCAACCCCAGAAGAGTACCGTCACCCTGCAGTTACCAAATCAGTGTTAGCAAAAGGGCTTGTCTTGTCTCAAACTCCTGAGCTTGTTTTACCTTAAGACCAGTGTGCAAAATAGGAGATCAATCCTCTTCTTCCCACTATTGAGGATTCTCTTTACCACAAAGGAAAAACTTGGTACCTTGATTCTTCAAAGATTGCTATCTCCTCAAAGGGAAACTAAAAAAATGGCCCAAATGCTAAAATTTTGTCTGTTATATATCTATATCTCCCTGTATATATATTTTATTATCAAATTGTCATATTAGTCCTTAGTGTTTTCCAGTTTCTTACCCCTCTTTGTCTTTAGAAATGCAATCTACTTTAAATTATCGCAGCCTAACACTTCTGTTCTACCCAGTTTGTGTTCCATAATGGCCAACTCAGTACCAATCATTTGACAACTTTTACTTAGGGTAAATATAGAGTACTGAAAACCATTTGCTCTGTGACCAACATCAATTTACTGTGTGCTGAAACCTAGCCCTCCCTGAAGGCCCATGCAGCCTTCTCAAGTGATGGCAGTTTTTCCTCCCGCCATTCTCTGACCTGGAGGTGGAACAGGTGTCACTTTGCAGCATGAGAGACCCTTGTGTCTTCCTCCTCCCCACCAACTCTCAGTTTTAAAGCTCATGCTATCAAACTTAGCCACTCCTCCTTCTTGCAGACATCTATAGATCTAATGGTCTCTTTTTCTCATTCTTTGAATATTTTAGACTCTGACTCACTGATGCTTTCTTTAACAATTCTCTTATTATACATATTGGAGATTTTAATATTCAATTGCTGACCTTTCTAATATTCTGACCTCTCAATTCACTGACCAAACTTTTTCAAACACTTTGTTACCCTTTCTCAGCCACCCACTTCCATGGTCATATCCTAAAACCTATCATATTACCAATAACTGCAGCTGCTCCATAATCTCAACATTGAGAGTTTCATTCTCTGATCCACCACCTGCTGTCTTGACAGCTTACTCCTTCTTATACCCTGACTCCAACAATTTCTGACCTTCATTGATCCTACCACTTTTTCACTGTCCCTCACATACTTCATGTCCTCATCTTGCCTAGCTTAGATTCCATGGGCAATCATTTAGCATCACATTCATCCTCAGCTCCCTTCCCCTCTACTTCAGTCATACTTACATGACAAAACCCCAACCAGTACCCATGCAAATGATCACAGATGCAAAAAAGACTAACTTCATGCTAACTTACTTCACTTTAAAGTCATGACTGCCAAGCAATGGTAGTCACGACTGCCAACCTCATTTCTCCTCCTCCTGGAAGACTGTGTCACACTTTCTCCTCTCCCCTCAAACTTCTCGTGCCTCCTCAGGCATTATCATTCTTAGACAGTGAGCTTGATTTCCAGCTCACTGAGACAACGGGAACAATCAGAAGACATTTCTACATTTTTCATGATCCTATCTACCAACTGTATGCATTATCTGTGTGCTCTGACATCTCTCTGGTTGTCAGGGAGGAACTGCCATGCCCTGAGCAGGAGCCAGCCTCTCCATTGAGCATTGTGCATGTTATCCCATTCCTTATCACATAACTCAAGGACCTCAGTCCAATGAACTCCCTCTGTCTCTCACTTACCATCAATATTTCTTTCCCTGGTAAATCATTCTCATCAATCCCACAGCTGCCATCTTAAAAACAAACCAAAAAATCTCTCATTTATTCCATATCCATCTTTGCAGCTATGACATCATTCTCTGTTCCACTTTCCCTCTTGACTCTTGGAAACAATCGTCTAAACTTGCTATTTTCGATTGCTCTTCTCCCAGTCTCCCATGAATCTACTTTTATCATGCTTTTGCCTACACTATTTCACCAACACATCTCTTATTGAGGTCACCTATGCCCCACACATTGTTAAATCCAGCAGGCAATTCTTAATCCTCATTTTATTTAACCTGACAGCAGAATTTGAAACAGCTGACCAGCCATCATTCTGGAAGCACTTTCTTCACTTCCTTTCCAGGACAATATATTCACTTGGCTATTCTTTTTACTCTTTTTTATTGGTTCTTCCTCAGCTCTCTGGGCTCTAATTCAGGGGTCAACAAACTTTTTCTACAAAGGACCAGACAGTAAATAGTTTAGTCATATGATCTCTGTCACAAGTACTCAACTATGCCATAGACAATACATAAATGAATGGATGTTTTCTGCCAACCCTGCTCTAAATATTCATAGGATTAGGGCTAAGTCCTCAGACCCTTCTCTTTTCTATGTAGACTTTCTACCTTTCTCTTGCTCTCACTACTAATCAAAAATGTCAAGTGTGCTTCTGCCTCAAGGCCTTTGCATCTGCTGTTCGCTCTGCCTACAGCACATTCTCTTACTTGCTCCCTTACTTCTAAGAAGGGTCTATGAAAATGTCACCATCAGTAAGGCCTCACCTGACTTCTCTGCATAAAGCAGGAACATCCTCTACCCCCAGCAGTCCCATCCCCCTGCCCTGGTCTTATTTCCCCCATAGGACTTATCACCATTTATTTGCATTTCTTTCCTTTATGAAAAAATTGTCTCTCCCAATTATAAGATCCATGAAAGCAGAGTCTTTTATCTGTTGTTTAATTTCAGCTGGATCCCCAATGCCTAGATGTGCACCTAGATATATTATTGTAGGCACTCAATAAACATTTGTTGGATGAATAAATAAATTGGTGTTTAAAATTTTACTCTGTTATCTACTGGGGATACAGAACAGGGTGAGAATGGACAAAGAATTGTTATATTAAACTAAATGTGCAAATATTTCAATTGAACCAAATTCAGAAAATACATAAAATGCATCTTTAGACATACCCACAGATAGCTCCTTATTTCAAAATGATTAGGATTCTGATCAATGCTGATGATTATATCTTAACTGAAGAATTATTACATTCAAAACTGAAAGGGATTCTTGGTAAATTTGTTTAAAGAATTTTTAGAAAGAATTCCTGGCATCTATCTAAGTAATGCTACTAAATTAATCTACCAAAAACCTATTAGAATGAATAATCAGGAAAATGGCTACCTATTCCTACCTAAAAGACAAGATAGCATACACATTTATAAATACCAAAAGTTTCCCCCCAAAAGTCCTTGGTGTGATGGGAATTAAATTGGAATAGGACTGAAAGCAGAAGCCCTGGAAATAAGCTGGAATGATTCTACATGGTGCCTTCCATGGTCTTGGCAGCAGCAGGCACTGATTAACTTTGGGCTTCTGAAGTAAATGAAGCTGGTCATTTCAGCCAGTAAAAGCCAAAAACAAGTTCCTTTTTAGATAATGTCAAGGGTGACGCTTTGTCTGCTGCGGAGACTATGCTTTGATTCCAGGGAAACCACAAGAGAAAGGAAGCAGTCACTCTTGTATAAGAAAGTCATCACAGGTAAACTGCATGTAGCTTGCTCCCACCTCACAAAATCTGAATCGGTAGATCTTACCTATCACATCTCCTTGTTCATGTATCATCATTCCCAAATCTTTAAATATTTCATTAATATCCATAATATCAGCCTAAGAAAAAAAGGGATATATTATTACAATCAGAAAGTCAGTGCCCACTCCACAAAAGGGGAATATTAAAAAACCCCAAACCAGCACTCACATATAGGTGAGCATGCATCTAGATTTAACACATAAGTTCTGGAAATATCAGGAAAATATTTTACAATGAGCAATCCTAATTAAAAGCACTTTGAACAACCACTACCAGTTCTCTAAAATGTTTGTGACATGAAACATATCAAGTAAGGTAGGATGGAAATGAAGGATCTATAACAGAAAACGGCCATGGGCTACTGAGTTTATTTTATGCAATTCACTAATAGTTTTGCTGTCACAAGCAGTAACTGCTTACAAGAGTATAAAATATTCTATGACATATTTCCAGTAAAAATGTATACATTAATTTTACAATTTAAAAAATAAAATGTCTAATGCTCTCAGAATGGTTAAAAATATAAATAATAAGTAAAGTAGTAGGTGTTAATTTAAAGTCTCACATAAACCAATTTGAACGTACAATGGATTAGTGAAGTTATAAATGTCATTACTGGATAACTAAATTATAAATTTCTTAGATAAAGAAGTTATAAATTTACTTATTTCTTCAACATATAACTATTATTTAATATTTTGCCCAATTAAAGAGAAAAAAGCCTAAATACTTTTTTGAGGTAGGTGGGACAATTTACATATCCATCAACAAGTACCAAGATAATATGCAATATTTAGGATCCTAAGTTGACAAGGAAAGAATTCATTAAATATTCTCAAAGGCCAAATAACAAATAGTATTTGGTTAAAACTTAATATAGTCTTAGAATCCAGACTGTTTGCCCATCTATAAAATGACAATGAGCATAACACAGTTAACTACTTCACAGAGTTTCTATGAGGACTAAATGAGATCATTAACATAAAGAATTTATCACTTAGCACCTAGTACAAGGAAGGTTTTCAATAAATTGCAGTCATTGTTAACTACTATTAGGCCACCTTCCAGAACTAGGTAGGTTCCATAAGAACTATGGCTTAACTAAATCCTTTAAATCTCTTTGATATCATAAATATAGCAAAGAAAAATAAAATATTTTTAAAGCCTTATGATGTATATCACTTGCCAAGGGAAGACTCCAGACTCTCTGGACAGATATTTATCTCTAGACTGATATTTTCTCAATACCAAAGTGACCTGTAGATGACTTAATACAATTTTAAAAAGTTGGGGTGGGAGAAAAAGTATGTTCTCTCATCCTAGCACAAATACTAAAGAGATTATTTTTTTTAAAAAAAGGAATTATTCCAACTTATATATTAGAAATGCCACAAAATTGATATATTTATTTAGTTTTCTTTTTTAACCCTTCTCCCAGCATGATCTAAGCATCTTAAGAACAGAGCAGCAGCCCAACTCTACAATGTAAGGCTTACTTCAAGTTGCCTGATGGAAGACTCTCTCTCATGAATAAGGCGGAGGTCATCCTCTGTAATTTCTTCATCCTGCACCTGCACTTGAGGTTGAGTTTGACTAAAAGAAAAAAAATAATATGGAAAAAACAAAGACTGGTATTCAAAACAATGGGACTCATTTCCTACTTAAGATATACTCACTAAATAGGATATTTTGTTCTTCAAAGTCACAGAACTGCTCACTTAAAACAATTATAAGAATATAACAGATATGTTAATCAAATTTTATTCATTTTTCATTCCATTTATATTGTCTGAGTTTAGAGTTTGTATTTAATTTTTGGAAGCTATATTTTGGCAACTGAATATTTCTTCTTGGCTGATGTAAATCTCACATAAGGGAATAATTTATATTAAAAATCAAGTCAATAAATATTTGGATAATTTATTTATATATTTTATAACAAATACTTTGTAATTATTTTGGAAAAATTTTCAACTTACTGTTTTTAATTTGTAAATAACTTAGGATATTTATGGTATTATATACTGACAGTTTTAATTCTGTTCCAGGGACAATAATGTATAAGATTTGAAAAATTATCTTTTGATATATAAAATGTTTTGTATTTCTTACCTTTCCCAGGATACAAGATTCCTTTCTTTTGAGCTTTCCTCAGGAAAACCACCCTGAATAATATCGTATGGATTGACAAGGACAAAGAAAGCAAATATAAGAAAAATAAGTAACACTCGCATTTTCCCTTATAATAATTTAAACTGATTTGTGTACGTGTGTATATATGTGTGTGTTGACAAAGAGAGGGAAATTCCTGTTCTAATTTTTTAGGTCAACTGCTTCAAGTCATAATATAATCATGTAACAAGGAAGGAATTCATTAAATATTCTCAAGGGCCAAATAATAAATATTATCATGTTACAATTTAATGCAGTCTTGGCAGACCAATTTGTTTTATTTTTCTGACACAGGATCTCATTATGTTGCCCAAAGAACTTGTAGGCTCAAGCAATCCTCCCACCTCAGCCTCCTAAGTACCTGTGATTACAGGCATGTGCCACCATGCCTGGCTAGTCTTGGAATCCATATGTTAAAGAATAAGGAAACAACTTGTAATAGTTTCTAAGGAAATTTAAAATTAGATTTATTCAAAATTCCACTGTAAATCTTCCTTTCATTTATTTTCTCTAGGTTTATATTCCACATTCATACAATATATTTGCTCTGTTCATCTCCATCAGCATCATGTAATCCAGGAGTAATGTGTGGTCTAGACTAGCAGGTACACAAATAGGAAGCCTCAGTGCCAAGGCAATATGGGGATACTACTCAGGATTTGATCTCTAATCTTTTTTGACAAAATATGTCTCTATAGTTTTACATAATCTTTTGTTCTGCAACATAGACAAAATATGGTAATACATAACTATCATCCTTTTTAAAAATAATAAATATAAATAATAAAAATAGTCAAATGTTGATTTCTAAGATAGCCACAGATCTTTATGACTTAAAAACATCATGCTAATGCGGACTTTTATGGGACCCTTGAAAACAGCATGTTCATTTTTAGAAGGCCTTTTAAAATACTTACAGATACTCTGGAACTGGCTCTTACTCGAGCAACAAACTCTTTCTCTCTCTCAGCAGCTTGCCTCTGGACCTTTTGGAAATTTGTCAGTGAAGTTGTGAATTCAGCCACTAAGCGATCTTTCTGTATTTTTCTTTGACGCTAGAGGAAAGAGAGAAAAAGCCTACTAGAATCAAGCTGTGAAGTTTAAATTCTGAAATTTTCACTCACTCCTCAATTACAAGGCCTTACCAATTAACTCTCAACATTTTGACAATGTGTCCAAACACTGCATATATTTATCTGGAGGCAAAAGGCCCATATTGCTAGATTTCTCACCTCAAATTTTCATGCTGCTAAAAACTGGGTGATGATTTTGAGGTTATTTTAAAGTAGTTATTTTTTAAGGCAAATAAAGCCTTATTCTTTTACCTAAGTAATACCTTCTATTAAGTAACCAAGGAAATAAATATGCACCCCTAGGACACCTTACATCTTGAATGAGTGTGCATGTTGCATGGAGTCGGTCCCGGAAGGCCAGGAAACAATTACTCAGGAAGCATTTTCTGAAAGCTTACTTAATTATGGGTCAGGGCAACTGCATGGAAATAATTTTTGCTTTATTGAACCACAGGATACTACCTGAGCAATTAAATACAGTTTTGTGTTTTGTGAACTAATCTCAAACAGAAATTTTTTGTCCCCTAATTTCCTTTCTAGCATAACAGTTCAAAGATCCTACAATGCATTTGATTTCTTTCACATTCAATACCATCAAAAATGTGTCTTAAAGCTTGATACCTGTTCACTGGGGGTGGTGGGCAGAGATCCAAACTCTTTAATGTACTTATCTGTTTCTTTGGCAAGTTGGTTAGTGTACTGCTGCTTCTGTTGCCTAAAGTGAGAAAACACACATTACAGCCAAAGAACTAATATACTTCTTTAAGCTACAACTCTGCCACTTGAATCAACCTTGATATTAGAAAAATTGCTTTTTCATAGACTGGCGTTAACTTTCTCTAGTAAAACAACATTTTCAGATCCTATTCTTTGATAAATATTGAGCAAATATTACATGGCAGGTTGTTCACTCATACAGGGTAACTGAGCTTAGAGAAATAAACAGCAGCAGCCATTTAGAGACACAGATAAGTCAGAAGGAAACTTAACTGAGAGATCAGTGGATGTTGCATCATTTATGTTTGAGATACTGGGGGTGTGGGAGACTTTTATCTGCATCCCACACCTGGGAGGTCAGTTGAGCAAGTAAAGATTTGTTGCCTTAGACTCTGTTCAGCTTATAGGCCCTAGGAATATGGCTTTTATTTTTCTAAGTGGACATTTATATGCTATAGATACTTTTTTTAAAAGGGGAGGGAAATGCTAATAATAGTACAACAAATTTACTATTATTTAAGTTTGCTGTGGAAAAAATAACAGCATTTCCTCATAAAGGGAACAGAACACAATAAAAGAAGTAAATTACAGTCATCCTTCAGTATCCTTTGGGGCTAGGTTCCAGGACCCCCGTGGATACCAAAATCCACAGATGCTCAAGTACTTGATAAAAAATGGTATAGTATTTGTAGATAACTTAGGTACATCCTCCCATATCCTTTAAATTATCTCTAGATCACTTATAATGCCTAATACAATGTAAAGGCTATGGAAATAGTTATTATACTGTATTGCTTAATTTGTATTATTTTTTACTGTTTTTTATGGCTTTTTTCTTGAATATTTTTGATACACAGTTGATTGAGTCTGAGAATGCATAAAGAGTGGATATGGAGGGCCAACTGTAGACCATACTTTATGTAGCTATCTTATTAAAAAGTGAGATTTCTAATTAAAAAACATTACATTAAAAAATAAGCTGTATTAATGTGCTGTTTTACAAATTACAACATCAGTACCTCTCAATATATATTACCTCTCATTTTAAACATGGATTGGCCACACTTAGAATCCTTTAAAACAATGAGATACTAGGATAAGAATATGGTTAAGTATAGATACCTAAATTTGACTGATAAGGGAAAATAATTATCTATTTATATCTCTATTTACCAAATACTTTATCTTTAATATGTTTTTGTTAAATCTTTAGAAGTAGTAATATAATCAAAGCTTTAAAAAGAAGATCTTAATGATCATGTCTACATATTCAGAATCCTCATATTTAGGTTGACACCAATCAACCTAAAAAAATACAATATAGAGATGACTGTAATTCTTCATATTGTATTTCATAAAAATATGAGTTCTATTACTTGTCTTTTAATATCTTCCTCTTTGCAATTTTCCTTCTATAGTTAACATTGTTTGGAAATACTGCTTCCTAGATATATATTACTTTAAATTTATAGCCGTAAGTAACAGCACTGAAATAAATAAGATTTAACAGGTTTTACATGATATTAGGCAAATCATCAAACCTACAAAAGACATGTTTTCCTTATGCACAAAATGGAAATACTTCTTTTGATCATCTATCCCACTCTTATTTTGTATAGTATATGAGAAAATATGTAAAAACATCTGAAAAATCTTTAACATACTATAGACAAAATATGGCTGTTATACTAATATCACATTAATTTCCTGGAATATGTGTTATATAACTTCACTACAACTTTTCTTTTCTAACAGAAGCTATTGCTTTCTAAAATTCAAGGAAATAGGTATAAATTTGGGGGGAGATAGTTCACATAACTGGATATGTATTGGAGCTAAACCAAATAAAAATCCAGTCACTGCAGGGATTGCCAGCTATGAAAAGTAAATCACATACATTCAGATGCTAGAGGGTAATTTTTCAAAAGCTGCCAGAAACAACCAGTGTAAGAGGTATAAGAAAGGCAACTAAAGAAATTCTGCTTTGATAGAGTAAGCCAGATCTTTAAAACAAAGAAAAGCACCTGCCTACTCTGGACAGGGAAAACCCTACCCAAAAGCTTGGTGCAAATGTATGGATAACGTAGAAGAAAAACTTTATTAAATTTCCACTGTTTCCTCCAGTAAATAAATACTATACAGTACCCTGTCAAAACAACATAATAATAGCAAAAGGTTTCATTTTTTTCCACTTTTGCTTGTTTAATTAAATACTTACAGCTGTTGCCTCAATTCAGGTGAATCTTGAGGGGTTCCAAGCTGATTCAGAGCTCTTTGTATTTCCACAGCTATTATAATAGAAAATTGACATATTAATTGTCACAAATGTTAGGGCAACAGAAATAATAAGTTATAAATTAATACCTATAAACAATTGGCAGTTTAAAAGATGGAAAAATAAATAGATAAAAAGAGCAAACATTAATTGAGAGAAAAGAATAAATGGTTTATTCAAATCTAATTAGTAACAAAAAATGAATTAATTTTCAAGAGGAAATTGTGTGGGAACATTAACTTGTGAAACTGTATCTATGATCCAAAAATGCTATCTTCTTACCTCTTCCACCAAGACATTAAATAAATACAATGGCACACAGACTATCATGTAACTCTAGAGGCATGAAAATTTGTGTTAACTGTAACAAATACATATTTCATTAGAATATAAAGTAAATGGATTATAGTTAATAAATGAGAAAGGAATAATAGAATTTAAAAAGTCATTTTTCAATTATCTATATAATAACTGATTCAGGCAAAGATCATTGAATGATGCTAAAACCACAGGACATTCACACTATTCCAATTACCACCATAGAGATGCCATTAATATAAAAGAGATAACTTCATAATAGATAAATCTATTGTCTAAAAACAAATGATCAAATTTAGCACCAACAATGGAACAAAGTGACATTATGAACCTTTTGACATGATGCGATAAGAAAGTCACAATATGATCTATGTACTTTTCTTGCCAAAATGTATAACCTTATCAAGAGGAAGAAATAAGACCCATCTAGACTGTAGGATAATCTACAAGACAATTGGCCTGGACTAGAAAATTTGTCAATGTCACAAAAGAAAAAAAAATATGACAAAAGCAGGGGAGCTTTTCTAAATTAAATAACTAAAGCACCTAAAACTGATAGACCCAAAAGGCACTGTATGATATTTGACTGGATTCTGAATCAGGAAAAAGCAAGCACTATAAAAAAAAACCTGTAGGGACAACTGGAGAAATCTGAATATGGAGAGAGGAATATATTAAACAAAAGTTGAAAAATATCAACAATTGGTAAATTCAGGTAAATGGTTCATGATATTATACTTTTCTTTTTTTGATGTTTAGAATATTTAAAGATTTTAAAATGAAAAACCAAGGGGTTAAAAGTCATGCTAAGCTCACAATCCAGGAATCTATGACTATTGCAATGAAATGAAAAAGGCTCTTCACAAAAAGAGAAGGGCCTATAGTTTTACATTATGTGTGTATAAATAAAAAGTAAAGTAGAGCCGGGCGCGGTGGCTCACGCCTGTAATCCTAGCTCTCTGGGAGGCCGAGGCGGGTGGATTGCTCGAGGTCGGGAGTTCGAAACCAGCCTGAGCAAGAGCGAGACCCCGTCTCTACTATAAATAGAAAGAAACTAATTGGCCAACTAATATATATATAGAAAAAATTAGCCGGGCATGGTGGCTCATGCCTGTAGTCCCAGCTACTTGGGAGGCTGAGACAGAAGGATCGCTTGAGCCCAGGAGTTTGAGGTTGCTGTGAGCTAGGCTGACGCCATGGCACTCACTCTAGGGCAACAGAGTGAGACTCTGTCTCAAAAAAAAAAAAAAAAAAGTAAAGTAGAAATAAGTTGAAAATTAGTCTCAAAGATCTCTCTCTAGTTCATTTCCAAGAATTAGAGGAAAACATTCCAAACTACCCATTCTTTTTATTTTAATGAATGGTTTATTTATATAGCTTAAATGCTTTTTATTTTAATTTAATTTATTTATATTTTAAGAGACAGGGTCTTGCTCTGTTGCCCAGGCCAAAGTGCACTGGCAGGATCATAGCTCACTGCAGCCTCCAACTTGTGATCCTCCTGCCTCAGCCTCCTGAGTAGCTGAGATTTCAGGCATGAGCCACCATACCTGGCTCTTGCACTTAAACTCTTTTTAAATAATCATGATTTATTTATGGACTCAAGGGAATGATAAAGTATTCCAAACAGCAGGATAACTTTTGTTATTGAGGATGATGTAATAAACATTGCTTTCAAGTCAAGGCTGAAAAACACAAACTCTAGAGAGGAATCATATAGCACATATTAATAGCAACTGTTACCATTTGGTTGATTTCAAATGAATTTCATTTTGCTTTTTTTGTGCCAATTTTCCTTTTGTAGGATGGAGAAATTTTGTTTGCTGTTTTTATGACTGCTTGCAATAAGTTATGCACTTCCATCTCAACCTGAACATATTTTCTTAGACTACCTTATGTAGGGATTAAAGCTTTTATTAAAAAAAAAGAGCATGTTGATGATGCAAACTGTAGTGTGGGCCTCTATAGAATAAAGGTTGGTATTTATCTCAACTCTAAGAGTTCTTGTTTTTTAAAAAACGTCAAATTGAGAAAAAATAGATTATTCAACAAATGACAGCAGGAAAACTATTTTGGGGAGGGAACAGAACTCTACTCTCACATCATATAGCAAAATAAATTTGTAATAAATTATTAATTTAAAATTTAAAACATTAAACTGCTATATGAAAATATAAATATATATTTATTTAATGATATTATATATGATCTTGGAGAAAGAGATAAAATATTAGCTAAGCATGATACAAAACTAAAAATCATGGAGGAAAATATTGACAAATTTGACTACATAACAACATTTTGTTAAGTGTTACATAAAAAATATGTACTTAAATACAAATACATTTAAGTGTGTGTGTGTATACATGGGAGAAAATAAATAACCAGGATACAATGAGAAAAAGTGTAGTTAAACTATACTATATGAACACTATATAAAAATTATTTATCCATTGAAAAGAATTAAGTAGAACAACTTCTGATAGAGCCAGTGGGAGCCTAAATCCACCACGTGGTAACTCCCCAGTTTCTAAACAGATATACTCAGCAATAGGACAATGAGCAGAAGCTTATTTAGATGGTGACTCCAACTGTAATACTCCTCAAAATGTGATCCATTTACTACAATAGATCATTGCAATCTCTGACACTTTGTACACACCTGCTGAAATAGCAAATATTTTTTGTTCAGTCCTAAAAAATAGAGAACATAAGAAGGGATCTGCTATCAGTCGGATGGGACAGCTGCGAGCATTCACAATCATATCTCAGGGTTATGTATACTCTCTCCATATATACTACAATTTAGTTTTCCCCTTTCTACAGGACACTATACTACTCCAATACACTGGTTACATCTGCTTTTATGACCTGAAAAGCAGGAAGAAACTTGTATTCTTAGATGCCTGGTAAGGAAGGCTAAGTATACCAGTAGGTAGAAAATAAATTCCATGAAAATACAGGGTACTGTTTTCTCAGTGAAGAATTTTGGTCAATTAATCTGTATGGATGGTTGACATAATTCTACAAAGTGCTTTTCTTTGCAGCCTCAAGCACAATTAGAAAATAGTGCTTGGTGAGACCTTTTATGCTGCTCCCACCCTTTACTGAAGGACTCAAAAGGTTACTTACTGGCGTTAGCTTCAACCTCCAAAGGAAAAGGCTATCCAGCTAATTCAAGTGGTGGTTAAGAAGCTTTACAAATTACTTTTAATGAACCAGCTGGTCCAATGGTAACAAGCCTGTGTAATATTGGGAGACTGCAGAAAACTACTGGCAAGTAACAATAGGAAAAACACAACAATCCCTAGAATACTGGAGCAAAACCATGTTCTCTTGGCAAACAATGTGATCTTTTTGAGGACTTGGTTTTGGCCTTGTTACTGAGCCCTGGATAAAGAGTAAACAGTGATATACCAGGAACCAAGTGATTCAAGCTGTCCACCAGGAGTGGGCTATATGTTACCTTGCTGGGATACCCTTTCTATGTTTTGCTCTATGTCAATCAGCCTGCCTCTCGTTCTACCTCCTACAGAACTTGAACGTTCAATAGGATAAGAAACCAGCAATGGTTATAGGAATAAAAGCCACATACAGGCTCACTAACACGTACTTTCCCTTACTTAGACCAACATGATGACTGGTGCTGCCATATACTAATCTGTAACAGCCATCAAAAACTGGTGATACAGTGTCATTCTTGAGGGTATCAGCCATCTGGCCAGTGGCAAGACAAGTATGATGTTCTTATCTTGGAGGAGACAGAATGTTACATTCACTGAAATAGTATGGCTCTGGACTCAGTTACGCTTCCTCTACCCTTTCCCCCTTCGTGCTTCTACCAGAGTCCTATACCATGTGTTAGTCACAACTGTGGTATTCTACACACCAGTGCTTCTGGTCAAGAAATTACTTTACAGAGAAAAAAAATTAATAGATGTCCCAAAGACAACAGTCACTGCTCTGCCACATACTCCATTATCCAGAAGCTGCTGGACTTCTATTAATAGAATGTTTAATGGCTTACTGAAGACTCAATTATGGTGTCACCCGGGAGACCGTAACTTGGGAAGTTGAAGTGCTGTCCTATAGGATCTTCATGGTCTCAAAGAACAACCACTCCAGGGTGCTGTTTTCACCTACAGCCAGAAAGAAACTTAGATTTGGGAAGTTAGGGGTAGAAGTGAAGTATTTCACAATTATGCCTAATTATCCATTTGTAAAATTTCTGCCATTCCTCAAGGTTATGCAGAGACAACAGAGTGGCAACTATAGTACCTGCCAATATTTTTTTTTCCTGCTCATCAATGTATGTATTTAGATATTTGTCTCCTTCCCTATTCATTTCCACCACTGTTTTATATAGGGTGTATTGTTAGTGGTTACACTTAGACTTTGTTCCACAGGCTAATGAATCATGCCATTCAGTTTTGCTGAAAGAGACAAGGAATGGACTGGAAATCACCAACTAGATTTGGCACTGGATGCAGAAACTGAAGAGGCAAGTTTTATCCCTAAAGGAAGAGCAATTCTGGTTGTATGTGGGAAAGTAGCACACACACACACACAAGCTTAAGTACAAAAAACAAAAGGAAGTACGTTCATTGTAGGAAACAAAAGGGATGAACTGTAATAGAAATTTATTTTTGGCCACCTAATACTCAAGATTTTTATTACACTGGGATCTTTTTGGTT